AAAATTAAATACAGTATCTGAGATCTAAAATACAAAGAACCTAACCCCGGAGCATCGCCCGGGCCTAAGAGCTAGTAAAATAAAAATAAAATCTGCATTAGACAATAATGACTTAGAATAGTTGTTTCGGCCCGGCCCGGCCCGGCCCACAATTATAAAATTTTTTTCAGGCCCGGCCCGGTCCGCAAAAATTTGCGCCATGAAACCCAATGCAGGCCTCTAGTCAAAAAATGTCTTTTCGAAAGAACGTCTAAAGCCTGGCACCTTTCGGTTTTCCAATTGGTAATTAATATTAAGGTTAAGGTTAGATATAAGCTAGGAGGTTAATAAATATATAGTAAATCGCATTTCCGACACTTTTACGTTTAGATAGCCATTTTATATAGTTTCGTGTTTTTGTCTTTGTCAAGTTATAGGGTAATTTAGTAAGGCGCCAGGCCCCCTTTTCGGGAAAAAGGGATATCGGGATTATGGTCAGAGAAATAGTAGGTGGATTTCAGAAAGGTAAGTATTAAAATACTGTATATTATAATAATAATACGTATACGTATACATCATCAGCATTTGTGGGTTTGATATAACATACATATATATATATATATACTGTATATAAGTTTGGTTGTTCAAATTAAGTAAGGCCATACAAACTTAATAAATCGGTTCTCAAAATATGTATCGGTATAAAAATTTTAAATTTTGACCCGGCCGGGTTATGAGAACCGATTTATTAAGTTTGGCCTAATAAGTCTTTAATGTAAAAAAAAAATTTTCGATGTGTACTGTATAAATATTTTAAATTGTGAATTCGATCTATTTTTACCACACAATCGGTTTATTTATTTTATTTAGTATCGTATTTACTCACGAACCTTAAATATCTTTTGTTCTTAACATCGGCGAGGAATTAATATTTCATATTTTCGCCGTTTATATATATATATATATATATATATATATATATATATATATGTATATATACATACCTTAGAAACATATGAGAACTCATAAAAAGTATACTTATAAATAATGATTAAGCATTTCTTAATTGCTACAACTTACCTGAATCAAATAATATTAAAACGAATTAAAAGAAAAAACGAAAACTATAATAAAAAGGGATAATCGAAGTAAATGCCCATTCATTCAAAACCCTCCTATTAATATTTCATTTTTAATGGCTGTCGATAACGAAGTATCAAAGATCTGATGGATATCATTAATCAATGATTCACATTCTTGTATTAATTGAGGGGACATAAAGTAGCTATTTAAAGCCTTTTCGTACCAATGCAAGGCTTTTTGAAAATCTTTTTGACATCCGATGCCAAAATGATAAAATTTACCCAGAATTAGTTTATTAGGACCAGGAGAAGATGGGAAATTTTCGCATACTTCGCGTATCAAGCGATAAGCTTCCATAAAGTTAGAGGCACTAAAATCGAAGGGAACATGGCCAAGTTCAATAGCAGACATGGCACTTTCGTAAAGTAATAACGCATATTCCATTTTACCACCCCAATAGTGATCGCACTCGCTTGACCGGTGAAACCATTTGGTAGCTTCGGCCTCGTTTTTAAGAGTACCAATTCCAGCAGAATAACAATTTCCGGCGAATTTCATACCTTGCGGGTCACCTAACTCCGCAAGACGTAGATAAAGATTATAGGCATGCTGATAATCAACAGGCGTGCCAATGCCGCGACGAAGACAGTAAGCAAGGTTGAACATTGCGTCCAAATTTCTATATAAAGTAAAAATTAATTAAAGCAATAATAATCAAAATAATAATAATAATAATCAAAATAATAATAATCAAAATAATAATAATAATCAAAATAATAATAATCAAAATAATAATAATCAAAATAATAATAATAATCAAAATAATAATAATAATCAAAATAATAATAATCAAAATAATAATAATAATAATAATAATCAAAATAATAATAATAATAATCAAAATAATCATAATATATGCAAACTAAGTTAGACATACCCAATATGGACAGCGCGTTCATAATATTTAACAGCACGCGAAGGATCTACTTCAACGCCAATACCCATCTGAAAACAAATTCCTAATTGACATAAACTGGCAGCAATTGGAGGATCTGAATTGGCATTTTCTAAATAAATTTCGATGGCTTTTTTTTCATCTCTGAGAAAATTATAATAAGATTATGGTCAAGATATAAATTTATAACTTTTAATAATTTAATAATAGTTTACACATACTTTTCTACGCCAATGCCGTGTTGCAAGCAATATGCAACCTGATGCTTGGCTTGCTGCGAACCTAAATTCGTAGCAATTATAAAATTTTTAAACGCTTGAAATGGATCACGAGGTTTTGCGAAATGAAGGAAATATTGTCCTCGATCATAATAAATAGCTGGATTTGTTTCAATTGGAGGAGTCATCGGAAAAAAAGATTCATTACGAGGAGTAGTTGGCGTCGGCGGATAGCTACTATCATAAGGATTGGTAGTTGATACAAAATGAACTTTGGAATCGATAGCATCTTTGGATGATCAATTGAATTAGAGAAATTATTTACACTTTTTAATAAATTGAGTATTATATAAAATTAGTATTAAAAAAATAAAAATAGAAAAAAAAATAAAAAAAATCTGGTCGGCTCGCTCTTGAAAACAATACCTTCTTGTGTGACAGCCATTGAATCATTAAGATTATTAGAACACTGACATAATTTAATAAAGGATATTTAGAAAGAGTCAGAAATGAAATAATGAAATAAATAGACTCAATAGGGACAAGTGGTCAACAAAATACCTCAACTTTGAACCCGTTTAGCGGATAAAAAATGGACGAAGAAAATTGTTGATTCGATATATCTACAGATAAAGGTATTGGTTGTACTGATGCTATATGTGGAGAGTAAAATAAGGACGCAGCGGCGTCTTGTGGTTGTATCAGTAATGATTGTTGAGTGTTTCGAAACGCATTAGGTTGTTTAACACCAGTATATTTTGGGCTAGGTAACATAAAACTTCCCGTGCAAGAATTCGTAGATATTATCGTGTCAGAAGAATGTAATTGATTAGGGGAAGTATCTGAGGGAAATATGGTGTAAACAGGAGAAGATACATTATATTGGTTTTCCATTGACGTTCAATAGAGAAAGAATAAAAGTTGGTAGCGTCTGAAGTTTTTTAATGCCGTTAAAAATAAAAAAAAACTCAATGGTGAACAATTATTTAAAAAAAAAAAAAAAAAATCGAATCGGTTCAGATTAGACGTGAATATTTTTTTTTTTTTTTTAACGTTAAGTAATCGACCTATTTGTTATTACATATTTATATATATTTTTTTGCACAATTACAAGCATTTAGCTACCGAAGGACTGGTTAATAAACTCGTGGTACATTATCAGGCAATTTACCCTTTTTTTTTTATTATTATTATTATTTATTTATTTTATATATATATAATTTTTTTTTTTGCTGCCAGGAAGGGATTTTTTTTTTCATTACATGCTAAATGAGCAAATCTAATTTTTTCCTTCATTAAAAATAATGATATATGTACATAGGCATATATTTATGAAGTAGTTCATTGAATTGGGCGGAGGCAAAAATTTTTTTTATATCATTTTCCTTTTTTCGGTTGTCACGCTGAAATCTTCTATTACAGCATATACGGGTGCGCAACCGGTAATTCACTTATTCGAGCTAGCGAAAATGTATGTACCAACTAATTATCATTTCTTATCTTCGCCGGTTTCTGATCAAAAAGAACCATGATAGTTAAGTACGTACGTACCGTGCATATTGATACTTATTTATCTAAGATTATATTTAAGATTACGTATTAATATTGAAATCATTCAATACGTAAAAAATAAAAAAAATTTTTCTATATTATGTAGATCAATACAATTATGCTTGTTGGCAACAAACAGAAGATCACTAGAATTGATTTTTTTTTTTTCAAGATATTTTTGTCAGATGATACGTACGTATGTACATACCTGCATGATACTGTAATAATAGCACGTGATGTTCATTCAAACCTGCTTGATTCTTACAAAAGCACGTTAACGTCATTGTTTTACTATAACTGTAATACTGCGGTCGACTTGTGGAAAGTAAATTCGTATGAACATTATAGGAAGCAATTGTCTTTTTTGGTAAACTAAACATATGGTCATATGGTCAAACTTGTTAAATGTCAATTGTCAAAGCTATCAAAATTTTTTGACTTTGTGTTACTTAAAGCGCATTATGTGGGGGAGACCGAACGAAGGCTAATTTATGATAAGCTAATGGAATATGGATGGTATGGCATTACAGCCTGCATCAAAATACAATTGTTGTTCGCCCACATTATGTTTTCTGAGCGAGTTGCGAAAATTTTCTAAGTGTACAACCTCAGAATTATAGTTCGTCAAGGATAGGCCGTGAATTTATGATTGTATTTGAATCACGTCGTGCATATACCGAAATTAAGCATCACCCTATTTTGTATCGTAGCCAAAAGCGCTCTTTAAAAGTCTTAATAAACTGTCGATCGATATCAATATTCATCTAAATTACATTAAGTCGGAACGATACGGTAATAGATAAACATGTGTAAATCTAAAAGTGCCTACTGATGTTTGTCGCATACCTCATTGGTTTACATTAAAGGGTCGCCCTGAATTTGTTAGATGACTCTTCAGTTGTTGTGGCGTAATTTTTCGCGTATTTGTTTGAGAGATGGGTCGATCTTATCCAATATTTCGTTTATGAAACCTGTTTCTTCGTTGATAAAATTTTTTTTTTTTTTTAAATTCCCCACATGCAACCGTAAGACTAATTTTCTCTTAGAGTGATATTTAAAGCTTTTACAAGCTTGCGCATATAAAATTTATCTGATATGTATTACATATATTGATTAATTATCTTTTAACAACTTTAAAACAATAATTTAGGCAAAGCAGTCAAGCAGTTGCTTTTTTGATGCATTCATGTATAAAAATAAATGACTTACTGATACGCGTTAAAAGAACAAAACCATTCGAAAGAGGAAATAATTATTAATAGCGAAATAGCTTTGGTGACCGTAAATTAGGAGAAATTTAAATGGTTGCGCAACATTTGCTGTAGTTTAAGTTATGAATTACAAATTCTTATATTTTGGTGAATTAGAAAAACTTAAACTGTTGTGCAGCGTTTAAGATAGTTTAAATAATGAAATTATACTCATTCAAAAAAAATTTTTCCCTTATTTTATTAATATATTTGACCGATCGTGTAACTTTTGGTGTGCAACATTTGAAGTGGGGCGTCGTCAATCAAAACGGCCTTTTTTTTATTAAATCGATTAAACTCCTAACACAACTTAGTTTTAAATCTATATCTATTTTTATTTGACGTACAACATACGTATGTAAGTACATATATAATTTCTTGGTGCTCTTGAATCAGGCTAGTCAAATTAAGATTTAGTTAACTAAAATAATATATACAGTATAAATTAAATTTTTTTTTTTTTTAAATATTAACGGTGAGGCTATAAATTAATTTATTTTATTTATTTTTTTTTTGGTGTTAAGGTGCTATAAATTAATTTATATAAATATATACATTATATATATATATATACAAAAAGTATAAAAATAGAAATAACTATATAGCAAAAAAAATACTATTCTTAATATGTCGATTTACATACCGTTCTTGATTCCAAGGAAGTCACCACAATTGATAACCAATTTTTAATTTTTTTTAATTTTTTTTTAAAAAAAAAGCCGAGTAGCTTACCATCGAGAGTAAATATAACAGATGAATTGATGTTTTTACTTTACTTTATACTCAGAGTTAGTCAAATTACTGGTTGACCAAAAATTTGTTGGTCAAACTGGTTTGGTCAAATTGGTCAAATGGTTTAATTTATTAAATAAATAGTTTTAATATACAAATAAATAAATAAATAAATATATATTTTATATATTATTTGACCAAGTTGATCAATAATAAATTCTTTAATCAACTGATCAAATTGGTTAAACTGGTCTGGTTAAGCTTAACTATTGACTAGTTAGTGTCAATTCTGTTTTTTTTTTTTTTAAATATTAAGATAAATACTTATGTTCCAAGATTTTATTGATAATATATTTGGCTAATGATTGCATTACAACCACAGGAGACAATTATAAAGAGAGTGTACAACTAGTCACTTATACAATTTTAGTTATTGTCTAATTTAAGTAATCTGCCTGAAGGTTCTACACTAGTTGTTATACCTGAAACCCACTTATAGGTTCCTTATTTAACTATTCTGTTTCTGTATTCACTCACCTACTTCTGCCTATTAACAATTCTGGTCAATAGTAATGAAAATATGTTATGATTATTAAGTCTTTAAAGCAGTTTACTCATATGAGGAATCTTTGACCTTGTATTAAACTTTTCAGAATCTTTTGTATCTTATTTTTATAGTTGACCTAATATCATTATAATCAAGAACAACACTAACAATCAGGATATATCATTAAATCATTATGTTTTTGTAGAGTTTATTCCAATCCTAATATTGATTTCACAATATATCCTTACTATTTTGGTATTCAATTCAAGTTTCACTAAGTTATCATTCCAGATAGCCTGAAAAGATAAGGTAAGATTATAACTCTGGTTTATATATTTATCAACATGTATACTTTTCTTTCAGAACTTGAAAATTCTGGTGACTTGGTTGGTTCATTCAGTCTTTCCTTAAAGACTAGCACATTTGTCTAGTTTCATAAGTTCTAGTTCTGTTTTATAAGTTTAGTCTTTACAGTAGCATCATCAAAGGTTCAGGTTACTTCTCTACTCAAATCTTTCAAGTAGACTTCTGTCTTTCTATCTAGTTTTTGTGATTTATATAGCCTAAGAACTTATCTTGGGTTTACACTGCTCAGTACCAGTTTGTGTTTTCTTATACAATATTGTATGAGTACTTAGACCTTTCAGTCATGCTAGTATGATACAGGTTACAGGTATCTTATCCCAACTAATCATGGAAGATAGTTAGCCATAACACAGAAAGAATTGCAAATTTTTGTCATCACTAGAATTTGAACTCTAGACCTGCCACTTGGGGTTAACAACCTATCCACTTCACTAAGTTACCACACTCCTCTAGTGTCAATTTTGTTTATAATATATTTATTTAATTATTATTAATATTTCAACTTTTTTTTACAATTTGATTGGTTGATATACAGATAATTTGCAAAATTTATAATATAATTGGTTAATATTTGTATATAATTATATCAGAACTTATTTTCATATTTGGAACATTTTTTTAGAATTATTGATAAAGTTCTAAAAAATTTTTTTTAAAATACTATATGTATTATTATTAGTACTCTGCAAAATTAAATCAAAGTTTAAATTTGCAGAATACTAATTATTATATTAAAAATATATAAAAAAAATTAGAAAGATGTAATAACCTAGTGAAGTAGTCAAGTTGTTAACACTTTAAGTAATAGGTTAGATGTTTAAATCTCATCAACAATGAAAATTTAAATAATTGTCTATGTAATCTAGTATTATGACAACTGTTTCTGACAATTAAGTTAAAATATTTATAATTATAATCACATTAGTATAACTGACAAATCATGAAATATTTGTGTAATTAGTTATACAGAAAAATGCAAATCAGCATTAGATAATGTAAACCTAAGATAAGTTCTTGTAGTAATATAAATTTATAGAAATAGAGAACAAAAAACCTATTTGAAAAAACCTAAATAAAAAGATAATATAAATTTTTGATAGTATTACTATAAAAATTAAATTTAAGAAACAGATATCAATACTAAAGTAGCCAGACAAGTATGAACCTCTGGATTGAGAGTTTTGAAGATATTATTAATCAGATTATTAAATTAGACTAAAAGAAAAAAATATCAAGCTAATTTGATATACTAATAGACTAGTCATAGTTCTATATAAGCTATTTGAATTAAAAATTTGGTAAAAGAAACAAGGATATACTAAAATACTAAAGATATATTGTAAAATAGATACTGAGATCTAAGTAAACTTTACAAGAGCATAGTAGTTTAATAATTAGCTCTAATTGCAAGTATTGGTTCTGCTATAATAATACCTAAATTAGCTGTA